TTTTTACTGTAACAACCACAAACATGTTTATTGAATCATATTTCATAACTTTAAATGCAAATATAAATTGTCAATTTTAAAATCCTATGCACAAGTTTTGCAAACAACAAAGTTATTTGCAGCCATTTACCTTTTACCCCTTTTTTATAACCATTTCAAACTATTTACATAACAATCAGCTGTTCTGCATTCAATAAGATGCCACAAATTATTTGTGCCACTCAAAAAAAATATTTCTGTCCACTATAAAGGAGAACATCACAGCCTGATACCTGCAGGTCTGACAGCAGCAGGTGTTTCACTCCTTTTTCTACCTGGAGACAGCAGTCGCCTCATTGTTCTGACACACAACACAAAACTATCCACAACACTACACACTAACTACACACTCCAAACACGCTAAACGTCACAAATCTCTCACATCTCTCTCTCTTTTTCTGCTGTCTTTCTTTCCTCTCTCTCTCTCTCTCTCTCTCTCTCTCGCCGTCACTCCTAAAACTTCCCCCTTTTCCTAAACAACCAAATGTCATGTTGCCATATCATTTTTTGATTGGTCGACATTGTGCATTTTCCCACCAAAACGAAAGGGCAGCTTTTTTGTTTTTTATTTGTTGGTCATAAGCAGAGAGTGCTTGCTAGCGCTGTCCTTAGACAGTAAACATGACGAAACTATTGAGGAAAAAACACCGCGTATATATTGCTTACCATGACTCTGGTTTTATGTTGCCTATCAACACAATTTAAAAACTGGTATATATCACCTTGTTGCTTTGTCATCTTGAAGTGGTCATGTGATTGGCTTACCACGACTACTTTATTCTTCCTCAGTCAAACAGCAGCACTCATGCGATTGTTTTGCTCCTTAGCTCCAGGTGTTGTGCCAAAAAGTGATGGTCGGGCAGAAAGTGATTGCCACCCGTGGGAGCGCGCACAGCTGCTTAAACTGCTTAGTAACGCCGTTACTTGTAACGCCGTTATTCCCATTTCTGAACATCAGCATTTTAATTGTAGTCACACAAAAAAATGTATGTCTACTAAGATCAAAGTTGGTGAAATTGTGTGTCTTGTAGAAATTTTTGGCTGTTTCCCTTTATGTCCTTCCATCTTCCTCTTTACTGATTTAAGACTAGATACAATTAGTTAAAGGTAAAAAAAAAAATCCCGAAAACAACTGCTGGTGTCGATAGTGTCAGGGGCTGGGTCTGTGAGCTACGTGGTCTGCGTGTTCCATGTTTTAATTGTCAAGTTTGTGTTGTCATGTCTATGTTCCATGCTGTTTTCTGTTTATTGTGATAATCCCTGTCCTGTGTGCAGTGTGTCTAATTTTGCTTCCCCTTGTCTCGTTAGGTCTGATTTGTCCCAGCTGTGTTCCCACTGGTTCCCCATCCTCTCATTACCCTTCTGTGTATTTAAGTCCTCTGTCTTCCTCTGTTCAGTGTTGGGTTATCTGTTTGTCTGGCTACATGTTTCTGTGAGTTTCGGCTCTTCATGTCTCAGGTTTTTCCCTCAAGCTCCTGTTCAGGTTCATGTCCTGTTTATCTCATGTTTTTGTTCAGGCCACGCTCATGTCACAGTTTTCATGTTTTAGTTTCTCCCAGTTTAGGTTTTAATTCTCGGCCCCTGTTCACCTTGCTTTGTGCTGATGTTTGTTAGCCAAATAAACTGCTTTTTGTTACACTTAGTTTCCTCTCCTCTGTGTCTGCTTTTAGGAACGCTTCTAAAACTCATTGGCTGCTCAGCCATGACGTATAGACTAATAACTATTTTATATTCCCAGGTTCTTCTTATTAACTTAAGTGAATTTTTCTTTGTTTTCTCTTTGTCTTCATAAAACTAGAGTCAGTTTCAGAGACACATTGGACTGGTGTAAAGTAGTGTATATAGCCCATCACCTCCTTAATGGGTAAGCCAATCTACACAAAACTTAGCATAACCACTGTCAAAAGTGTCAATTCTTTTGATTTTCATATAGATTGTTTATCTCAAAATTAGCTTCACGTGTTTCATTCAACGTACATTGCCTGTATGGTCACCAAAATTTGTATCCACCATGGAATTTTCTTTGAACAGCACTAAATAAGGAATGAAGACTTTCAAAAAGCACTGAAATCTTAGCAAATAACTAGCTTTTTGCTAATATAAAGATTGGCTAGATAAAAAAAAATTAATTTCATGAAATTGTTCTTAAATAGCACTTTTCCACTCTACTTGAGCACTCAAAGCACTTTATACAACATGTCTCAATCACTTATTCACACACATTCATACAAGCATTTTTTCTGTCTAACTGATTTCTATACCATATAATATATATATTTGTTTTACAAAAGGACAAGAGCGCTAAGAGTCTTGCCACAAGAGTGATGCTCAAACTGCCCTATGTGTGCAAAAGACTGCACATACACAATCACGTGTTTACAAATATAAATAAATATTGGCTTTTTTTTAAAGTTTTTTTTTTCTTTCAATTTAGTTCTGTAGTTTGATGGCATCAAAGCTGGAATAACCAACACACGTAAAAACTGTCTCACTCAGGCAGACAAGTCATAACAGAAAGTTCTATATTAAAGTGTATAAAATACAACTGCTAGATGTCAGTAGACTGTAGATTGCAGTCAACTGAGTTCTGTTTTCTTACCACTCTCATTCCACAGTTCACCTACAGTGGCCACTGAAGGACAACTATTTCTGGGTGCCGTTCATCTGTAGTGAATGTAGGCTGTCAGTCTGCTGTTTACCTCAGCTGAGGTTTGCACTACACAGCAGGCTCATCCAGGTAACTTCAAAATTCTAAAATACTTAGGACCATATAATATTTCAGTTTTTCAATTGTGTTATTCTGTCAATATGGGGTGCTGTATGTACATTAATGAGGAAAAAAAATGAACTTTTAGCAAATGGCTGCAATATAACAAAGAGTGAAAAATTTAAGGGGGTCTGAATACTTTCCGTACCCACTTTCTCAGTACATGTTTAGAATTTTTTTTAATTTATTCATTCGGCCATGCATTTATAAATAAAAGTACTTTGTTCTTGGAACAAGGACCAAGATTGATCTGTGATACATTACTATATTAGAGTAAGAACTAGACTAACACTAGAATGCAGTCTAGGAGAAATCTAAAACTAATGGAAATTGTGGTTAGCAAAACTTAAGTACAAAAAATAAATTAAACTACTATCCAGCACTCAAGCCAACTGCTAAATCAGATCTCTTTTTTTGTTTTGACACAGTAATTACAAGGTGGAATATATGTCAAATCATTTGTGGATTGCTAATTATTTTGTAGGAATAAGACGGGAAAGTGATTTTTAGACTATAATAACCCATTTGGATTGTGGTACAACTCTTTATTTATTTATTTTTCTATATCTATATAAGCTGCTGTTTGTCTGATGTCTTGTAACCTATACTCATCTACTCATCTTTATATTTTGTTTGCGTTTATAGGTGGACTATGTATCCTGGTGAGTATACTTACTGATCAGTGTGTTGTACAGGAACACTGCTCCAGTCTAAGGTCATGTTCTTGAAGTATAGGAATAGTGGAGTCACCTGCTTTCTTATGTAGTCCTAGAAATCAAGAGTTAAGAAGAGTTTATCTCCAGAAAATGTTTTCCTCCAAATGGGTCTAAAGTCACAGTTGGGTAAACAGTCATAGAGAGTAAAGGAACCTTTCTTAAAAAGCTAAACTTTGGAAAGTATTCACCTGCATAGGCTGATAGACATCCGTACGGTCTAACATGAGGTAATAATAGTCCAGATTATTGAGAGCAGATTGCCAGGGCATGTACTCTGTTTCCTTTGACAAGTAAGAGGTTGTCCTGAGGGCTAGAGAGGTCGAGAGCAGCTGAGCCCTGCAGAAAGAATACATGGGAATAAATAACTTATTGCTAAGAAACAATATTACAGCAAAGAATTGACCACAAACAAATTTCTTTATTTAATAAATCTTGTAACACTGGAAAACCTCTTTTCACCACATTTGTGAGAAAAATACATTTGTGGTTTGAGCAGTGGAATTGAGTATGTGGATTGCGCCCATGAAAACTTGCCATCTCTTTTTTGACATTGCCAAATAACTTATTCTGCTACCGACTCTTTGTTTTGAATTTCTGACGATTAGGTGCCAATCAGGTATCTGATTAACAGGACCAGTGAGCATGGACCCTTCTACAGTGGTATTTACAGATCCTTCACACCCTGGACACAGAGTTTTTGACCTGCTGCTTTCTGGCAGACGGTATAGAAGCCTGCAGACCAGGACCACCCGACACAGGAACAGTTTCTTTCCCCTTGCTATTTCCCTCCGAAATAGTTGTACTGTCACATTGCTTCACACTGCCATACTGCAACTGCACCTTATTTACATTCTGTGGTATTCATTTTTGTAATCCTGTAGTTTTTGTATATAAGGATTTAGATGTTTTTATATTGTGGTTTATGTATATTGTTCATTGTGTTGCTCACATATTGTGTGCTTTTACATTGTTGTGCTTGAAAGACACCATCGACCGGAACCAAATTCCTTGTATGTGTTTGTGCAGATACTTTGCCAATAAATGCGATTCTGATTCTTGTCAGTTGATGTCTGCTCTAAGCGTGCCATATTTCACTGATCTGGATATGGCCCATGCCATATCCAGATCCATCCATTATCCAAACCCAGCTTCCAGCGTATTTATAATGAGCCCTAGTATCATCTCCAAATTGAACACAAAATTCCATATAACAGGGAATTTCAGACACAGGGCTCAAAATGAGCACCCCAAGAAGATGACACTGCAAGAAGGCCAGGGACCGCAGATTTGCAGTCAAAGTTTGCAGGATGATGAAGCCGGTGGCTCTCTACCCAGAACAGACTGGACACAGCCAAACTCTGGTCTTACAGTACTGCCAGGAAGCCTGCCATGGGTGCCCTTCACCATCAAGCCCATTTGAGCTGATGTTGGCAACATGTGCACTGGTGCATCATGAACATGTGGAGGAATATTATGTTCATTCATGAGCCCAGATTCTGCCTATGACACTTAGCAAATAAACTCTCATACAATGTGAGAAGGTAATAAAACTGTGTATTAAAGGGAGAGTTTGATTTTTAGAACACTTGAACCTCAAATTAGTCGGTGTAATGTTAGCTCATAATCTGTTGTTGTTGTGTAGCTGGCTTGACATCTGTCTGCAGATAGGAGGGTTGCATGTCTAATATGCTGATAATTAATTGTGACAATATCTGCATTAAAATAAGTATGTTTATGGCAGTGTGTGTGTGTG